CCCTGAGGAAGGAAATGGCAACACACTCCAGTAGTCTTGCCTGGAGAATCCCATGGACAGAAGAGCCTGGTGGGCTACAGTCCCTGGCGTCACAAAAGAGTTGGACATGACTTAACAACTAAACAGCAATCAAGTAGTTAGATACAAACCACTTAAGTATTTGTGTCTTAACAACTTAATGGCCTCTTGAACACATGTAAATTAAAGAAAAAAATTTGTATTCTATTCCTAAGTAACCACAAATATTTGCAAATAAGATGTGTGTCTATACTGGGCACCATGCAACTTTACAAATCTGGAAACGTATTGGACACTGTCACCTATATTTCCTGTTCCACATTGATTTTTATGTGGTACTTGCTTTTTGTCACAGCAAACTCCAAAATACCAGCTTCACAAAAATATGGTATTATCTAAAGGAATGTAGCATAAACTTATGTTGAAAATGGGATCTGATAGTTTCAGATTTTTTTTTTAAGGTATCAGTATTTTATTTATTTATTTAACTGTGCCAGGTCTGAGTTGCAGCATGTGGGATCTTTGATATTCATTGTGGCATGTGGGATCTTTAGTTGAGGTATGTGGGGTGTTTTAGTTGCCACGTGTGGGATCTCGCTCCCATTGGGAGCGTGGAGCCTCAGTCACTAGACCACCTGGGAAGTCCTGATATAGTAGTTTTGCAGTGTCTATCAGATGGTTGAATATCACTGTTTCTTTCAAAATATCCCATGATGCCCCTGTGAATGTATTATGGTGCCCAGGGTATTTGAGTACCAGATAGCTAGGCAGTCAGAAATCTCCTCTCTTCTTGGTGGCAAGAAAGAAAGAAAGAAAGCAAGAAAGTAAAGTCGTTCAGTTGTGTCCGACTCTTTGGAACCCCATGGACTGTAGCCTACCAGGCTCCTCCGTCCATGGGATTTTCCAAGCAAGAATACTGGAGTGGGTTGCCATTTCCTTCTCCAGGAGATCTTCCCAACCCAGGGATCGAACACAGGTCTCCTACATTGTAGGCAGACGCTTTACCGTCTGAGCCACCAGGAAGTCTCTGCAGGGAAGCCTAGGCTTCTGCAAATTAAAGCTTTGTTGCTCCACTCCTTCCCTGAGACAGTTAACTAAGCCTTTCTTCCTGTTGCAGGTGTCTGCTTTAGTAAAGTCATTCAGTAATTACTAACATTTGAAGTAGTGGCTTTTTAAAAAATTTGACAATCTGAATTTCAAAAGCCAACTGTGGGAAGATCTGGAAGAAGACATTTCAAAAGAGAGAAATGCCGGAAATGCTGATACAAAAGCCTTGAGACATGAATAAGCTTGGAGTTTGAAGATGAAGGAATCCTCAGTGGTGAAGGCCACCCCTCTGAGTGGATCACAGACAGAGCTCTTTCCCACTCTGCCTTCAGGGATTGGTAGCTCGAACTTATCATGGGAGAATTTACACCTCCGAAATCGACCAAGGTTGGGATTTCCCTGCTGGTCCCATGGTTAGGTGTCTGTGCTCCCAATGCAGAGGGCGAGTGTTCCATCCCTGGTGGGGGAACTAAGATTACCGCATTTACAATACCCCACAATGGCTGCTCCCCACCCACCGCCGGCAAATCCATCCGTGGTACAAATCAGGTCTTTTACTGACTTCCCAGCAAACCATTGCCTCTAATCACTGGTTTTAGGTGAAAGTGTTAGTCGCTCAGTTGTGTTCGACTTTTTGCCACCCCATGGACTGTAGCTCACCAGGCTCCTCTGTCCATGGGATTTCCATAGCAAGAATACTGGTGTGGGTAGCCATTCCCTTCTCCAGGGCATCATCCCAACCCAGAGATCAAACCCGGGTCTCCTACACTGCAGGCAGATTCTTTACCGTCTGAGCCACCAGGGAAGACCACTTCATCTCTATTGTGGTTATAAATCATTATGGCACCTAACTCATGGGTTGGAACAGTTTCTTGACTCACATCAGCAATACGTTATCAGCTCCTATTAGGGTCTGGCACTGTGTTAAGTTATGCTCAGCAAAAACTGTTCTCTTGTAATTGCATTTTTCAGAGCCAAATGGCCTTTCATCATCAAATAATCGCAAGAGTCTTGGATCTGAGTACAGTCATAGGTGAGTGTCACAAATGAGAAAAGCCCCAAATCAAGAACCCTGAAAAAAAAAAAAATAACCCTGGCCCCAGCAGGGTGTCAGAGGAAGCCACCTGAACAGGTGCTCCTGATGCAAAAATCTAGAAACTGTAGAGATGTACTCATTAGTGTTTCCAAAACAGGATGCAGACAGTATTTTAAAGACTATATTTTTTTGCTTGGCCAAAAAGTTCATTTGGGTTTTTCTATAAGATGTTATGGAAAAACCAGAATGAACTTTTAAATATATATTTATTTATTTTTTATTTATTTGACTGCATTGAGTCTTAGTCACAGCATGTGGGATCTAGTTCCTGACCGTGGATGGAACTTGGACCCCTTGCATTGGGAGCTGTGAGTCTTAGCCACTAGGCCACCAGGAAAGTCCCTTGAATGAACTTTTTGGCCAAGCCAAATATTTTAATATGAAGTAGCAACAACCATGAAGATGACAGGAATGGCTCATTTTGGGAGACTGCTTCCTTGATAAGGGAGTGGTACTCCGTAAAGGATGACTATCTCTGCTGTTGGGCATCTGGACCAACCTGGGCTGTGAATTTTGGTACCTAAGAGAGGTAAGAGGAAAGGCCAAATGCTTATCCCACTCAGGGAATTAGCAAGTCAGTAGTTTTCTTCTTTCTGCTGCAGGACTGAAGTGAAGAGAGAGCAATCTGGCTAATGAGGAACTTCGGAGATAACTCTCCAAGGGCCAGAAAAAAAAAACCCACAAATCTGTAAACTGCCCCCCTTTCCCCATCAGTACAATCTTACACTTACAAGACCAGAAAGGAAGATACAGTTGTGTCTGACTCTTTGCAAACCCATGGACTGTAGCCTACCAGGCTCCTCTGTCCATGAGATTCTCCAGGCAAGAATACTGGAGTGAGTTGCCATTTCCTTCTCCAGGGGATCTTCGCCACCACCCCCGCCACCCCTGCCCCAAGGTTCAAGCCAGGTCTCTTACACTGCAGGCACATTCTTTACATCTGAGCCACCAAGGAATCCCAAAGAAATACACAGAAATAAATAAATATTAGAAAAATAATGTGTCCCTTGAATAATGTGACCAGCAGCCAGGGCTGGGTTTGTGGGTGTGTAATCAGAAGGGCCACAGAGGACCCTGCTCTTGGCTGAACGCTCTGCTATCACTGTCTTGACATTTTCTCAACTTGGGGTTCCAAATTTTCATTTTGCAGTGGGACCTGAAAATTATGCAGCAGGTTCTACCAGTTGTATCAGCATTACCTGGGAAATTCTTTGAAATGCAGTTGCTCAGACTTCACCTGGAGATGCTGAAACTGGGGTGGCACCCAGCAACCTCTGTTTTAAGAAAGCCTCCAGGTGACTCTGACACATGGTCAAGACTGAGAGTCACTGTCTAATGGGCCTCTCGATTTTTCTGGCCTATTCCCAAGTCCCTTGGCACCAGGTTTTCAATTGCTCCTGGCTCTGCTGACCCCATTCTCTCACCCTGAGATTTTATGGACCAATTTGCTACTCGAAGGAAATCAATACTTCCTAATATTTTCTGAGAATTTCAGGCGGCTCCAATGCATCCCTTTATTTCAGGAAGGAAAGGAAGGAGACCTGTGCTATTGACTCTGATGTGATTCTACCAAGAACAGGAGGAGGTAAGATCTGCATCTCTGTGAGTGGTGTTAAATATTTCCTGATCTGCAGAATTCCCTGACTGAGGGAGAAGCCTGAAATAGAAGTGGGGGTGGGGCTGTGTTCCTAAGAACATCCATGAAGTTCAAGTAATGAGGGGGCAGCTGGCTGATATCTCAAAGAACAGAGGACAAGCGCATAAGTAAGCAAATCAGAAAGAGTTCCTTCAGTACTTATTAATTCATTTATTTTTTAATAGTGACAAAACATAGAAAATAAAATGTACCCTTAAAACTGTTTTAAGTATGCAGTTCAGTGGCATTGAGTTCAATTCCATTTTTGTGTAACCATCACCACCATTCATCTCCAGAACAGTTTTCATCTTTCAAAAGTGATTCTTGGTCCCCTTGAAACACTAAACATCACCCCCCCCACCCACCATTCTGCCATCCTCCTATCCCCTGACAAGCACCCTTCTTTTTTTAATTTATAAATTGAAACCTTTCATTTTGTTAGCTTGTTGTTCTTGGTTGCTGAGTCATGTCTGACTCTGCAACACCATAGACTGTAGCCCACAAGGCTCCCTGGGATTTCCAGGGCAAGAATACTGGACTGGGTTTCCATTCCTTCTCCTAGGGATCTCCCCGACCCAGGGATCGAACTTAGATCTCCTGTGTTGGCAGGCAGATTCTTTACCACTGAGCCACCAGAATCACATTTGTTGAGGAGTTACAAATCATTTTTATAATGAAAAAGGTAAATCATAGTACCTTCTTCTAAAAGAAAGGAAAGTTACCAAATATTAGAGAATAACCACAATCGTCTCAGACTTATGATACCAGGAGTTAGAAAATATCATTAGGCTTTTGAGAAATCTTGGTTAAGGAAAATCAAGCAAAAAAAAAAAGTTAATTTTTTGAAGAGGTTCGTTTACGTGGCTCAAAATTCAAAAGGTACCAAAAACAGTGAAAAATGTCCCTTTTACTTCTGTTTCTTAGCAGTAAAGTCCTCTTTTTGAGGCTAACATTGCACTGATTTTGTATGGATTCTTGAAG